TGAAATTTTGTGATGACTATGTAGTTTTTTTCTTTCCAGATTTGTAATTGTAATATTTTGTTTTCAAATTTTTTTTGGATGGATTTAGAGATTTTGTTGAGATTTTTGTTGAAATATTTTTTTTGTCAATTTAGGAATTTTTTCCCCAAATTTGAAGACATGTGATTTTTTACAGATTTAGATAATAACATTGATATGAGTTTGAAATCTAAATTTATTAATTTTTTTTCTTCAGATTTGAAGACATTTGATTTTTTTCCAGATTTAAATAATAATATTGATATGAGATTGAAATTTGAATATCATATTTTTTTTTCCAGATTTGAAGGCACTAAATTTAGTGATTCTAATAATTGATATGAGTTTGAAATTTGAATTTATTAATTTTTTGTGTTATGCAATAGAATTTAAATTAAAAAAAATGAAGAAAATAAATGTTTTTAAAGATGAAGAAGATGAATATTTGAAAATGAAAAGGATGGATAAGATAAATGTTTGAAGATTAAAAAAATAAATATCAAATATACTTAATTATTCAAATTATTTAAAAATAAATTATTTAATAGGAAGAAATTTTAAATAATTAATAATTAAAACTAAATAAAAAATTAATTATAAATAATTAGTCATTCATCAAAATGTAGGACCAAGACATCTTTTTAAATAACATATCACTTATTTATCTAAAACTTTGAGGTGATAAGTGAGTAAATTCTTTCACTTATATATGTTTAAGTTTTTATATTTTTATCCAATATAAAATTATTTTCCTACTTACTCACATTTATTATATTATTCCAACCGAATTAACACCTAGTTTTAGTCTTCTTTTACTTTTCAATACATGGGATTATATAAGAAAAAACATTCTCATAAAAAAACATTCTCTGCCATGGTCATTGTCAATATTTAATTCTTCCCACGGATTTTAAATCCATGGACAAATATAGACCACATGTTTCACTTGTCCTATACTTATTTCCTAGTCAATTGAATCAAACACATTAGATCTGGTTGGAAGACTTGTTACAAATGCGACAAAAAATGCCAGCAATGTGTGGTATGCCAAATCTCACAATCTCTTATTATAAAGTCACTCACGTATATTATAAAATGTGACCTCTGTATTTTTTTTTTTGGTAATGATCTCTGATTTTTTTCGAAACTATATTCACAGGAAATTTGCGAATTTAATATTTAAAAACTTTATCCAAGAAAAAAAAATACACATTTATATATGGAGACCAAAAAACCTATTTAAGTCTTCCTTAAAATTTTTTTTTTACTATTCTCTAATCTTATACAAACTGAGTCACTATCATAGTCTTCACAACTTTCAAGGAACTAAGATCATACACACAACAAAGGTAGGAAAATGAAGATGGAAATCAAAGAAGATGTTGAGGGTGGTAAGCAGAGAGGAGTAAGAGAAGCATTGTTAGGGGAAAACAACAAACAACTTGTCCATCAAACCAAACATCATCACCATCATCCATGGATGGTTTACTTCACCACATTCATTGCTGTTTGTGGTTCTTATGAATTTGGTGCTTGTGTAAGTCTTTGCTTCACCACTTCTATGTTTTACTATAAAGCTCCTCTATATTTCAACATCACCAAAAATAACCACTTTTTTATACAAGATGTTTGCTTGCTTGTTATTTTTGTTTTCTAGGCTGGATATTCATCTCCAGCTCAAGATGCTATCAGGAAGGATCTTAGTCTGTCTTTGGCTGAGGTAAGCCAGAAATTATTCAAAACTTGATTTAACTTCATAATCCTTAGATTAATGAAAATATAGGAAATGGACTCAAAATTGATTAAGAATATTCTAAAAGTATTTCAAATAAACAATTACTGTATATTATTTTAGTGGCAAACTCATGATTATCATGCACTAAAAATGTTTGTATTAATTCCTACATAGTGGATTTAATGTTGTTTTCTTTGGTTTTTGGTGATTGAATGAATGCAGTACTCCTTGTTTGGCTCCATCTTGACTTTTGGTGCAATGATTGGCGCGATAACAAGTGGTCCTATTGCTGACTTCGTTGGTCGAAAGGGGGTAATGGCAGCAAAATGATTATGGTTGTTTTGGAATTAACTTCCAAATTTATTGTTAATCATCTTTATAATTTGGAGTATTCATAAAAAGTTGGTTTCGGAATGTATACGCAGGCAATGAGAGTATCAAGTGCTTTCTGTGTTGCAGGATGGCTTGTTATTTATTTTTCAAAGGTTCTTTACTACAAAACATATGTGATTATTTTTGTCATAACTGTTCTCCAATGACTAACTGACTAACTTATATAGGGTCCAGTTCCTCTGGATATTGGGAGGCTAGCAACAGGATATGGAATGGGAGTCTTCTCATTTGTGGTTCCTGTCTTTGTAGCAGAAATTGCGCCAAAAGAACTCCGAGGAGCCCTCACTACCTTAAATCAGGTATATATTTGCAATACATTGTAACTCTATGATCATGAAGGTATCAATCCCATATAAGTTTGTTTTTCTTCTTCTTTTGTAGTTTATGATTGTTACCGCTGTATCTGTTTCATTCATAATTGGAACAATACTTTCGTGGAGAGCTTTAGCAATAATTGGTCAGTTTTCTCCGAATTTGAACATTATAACCCAATTGAAGCTTTTCAATACTAGATACGTGTTTGCAATTGCAGGCCTGATTCCCACTGCTGTGTTGCTCTTGGGTCTGTTCTTCATTCCAGAGTCTCCTAGATGGCTGGTAAGTAATGAATTTCCATCTTTATTTTTTTAGAGAAAAATATGAAGTGGGTAACTCAAAATCAGAGTACTAAAACCAACTAAATAATGACTGTAGGCAAAGAGAGGACGTGCAAAAGATTGTGTGGCAGCATTGCAAATACTTCGCGGTAAAGATGCTGATATATCTCATGAAGCCGCCGAAATTCAGGTTCCTATATGTTTGTGACTTTGCTGTCATGCACAATACTTAAGATTAAGACAATGCATTCCAAATATAATGCAGTTAAGCCTGTGTATCTGTCACTGCCTCTCAGGATTATATAACTAGTTTAGAACTTCTCGCAAAACCGAAGATGCTGGATTTGTTTCAAAGAAGATATTTGCGCTCGCTTACGGTATGCATCTATAACTCCATTCTTGATATCATTTCATTTTCTTTAAGGACGTGATTGGTGGACTACTACGTTCAGAGGTGAAAAACAAAGTACTGTTTTGAAAATCGTAGTATATTTTAAATCTTCTGATATTATTGTTGTGTTTATCAAATCTATAGTGATTTCCATTCAAAATTTTCAACTTCTGATTTTTCTTCAATCCAAGCAAATACAAAGAAAGTACTACAGATAACTGATTTTGATGTGGCAGATTGGAATAGGGCTTATGGTTTGCCAGCAATTTGGGGGAATCAATGGAGTTTGCTTTTATACTAGCAGTATTTTTGAGCTAGCAGGTACTCATGTAATTGTAACTTTTCATCCAAAGTCTGATACTATTTATATATACCCTGTAGTTCACATTGAAATCATATTTTAAAACATGAATAAACTTTATTAAGTCCTCACTCAGATATTTATTTTGGTTTGGTGTATTTTGTCATAGGATTTCCTTCTGCGACCGGGACTATAATTTATGCTATTCTTCAGGTTCTTTTTTCTTAAACTTAACCAGTAGTCCTTATAAATTTTAAGTTTTGTTTCTCTCAAACTAATGGAGTCATGTTTGTTAATTTTGCAGATTATAATAACAGGTGTTGGAGCAACCCTCATAGATAAAGCTGGAAGGAAGCCCCTACTTTTGGTAAGTTCAAAGCTCAAAACAACATTACTTCAAATTTTCATTTGCTAATCCTCTTCGTGTACGCATGAGTCTGATAGTCTTGTTATGATTTCTTGGTTTCAATAGGTGTCTGGATCAGGATTGGTTGCAGGGTGTATATTTACAGCAGTTGCGTTCTATCTTAAGGTACAGTTTAACTATGAATATTATGGTGTCGAGTTTTGAATCCTAATATTCATGTAAAAGTTTCAACACTTGTGAGTAACAGGTTCATAATGTGGGCTTAGGGGCAGTCCCAACACTGGCTGTAACTGGCATACTTGTATGACTACTTCCCTTTCTCCGTTGATGCTTTTTTCGATTTAAGAATCACATTCTTCGAAATATGAACTCATTCTCCATGTAACATTTACTCATTCTATGATGTTAGGTCTATATAGGATCGTTTTCCATAGGAATGGGAGCAGTTCCATGGGTTGTGATGTCCGAGGTACGCCCTGATCCTTTCAAATTCGTCAGTTATAAACATGTCTGCTATATCAAAATTAGTATGATTTTACTTGGCAAAAATACGGCGCAAATTTGCTGAAATATTACCTTGTGTTGCAGATATTTCCAGTTAATATTAAAGGACAGGCTGGAAGCATAGCCACATTGGTGAACTGGTTTGGTGCATGGCTATGTTCCTACACTTTCAACTTTCTCATGAGTTGGAGCTCATATGGTAAATACATTGTTTTTCAGCTTTAAAGGAGTAATGATAAGCATTATTATAGAACATGCATGTTAACCTTGTAATTATGATTTCCAGGTACCTTTATTCTTTATGCTGCAATCAATGCACTAGCTATATTGTTTATAGTTGTAGCCGTTCCAGAAACCAAAGGTAAAAGCCTTGAACAATTACAGGCAGCCATTAACGCATAGCAAGTTTGCGATTTCCTGTGTTTCGTGGAACAACAATGGATGCAAGTTGGTGATTCAATAACTAGCCTTATTTTTTATAGTCTGTTTGGTTCTATATTTGATGATTGAATTCACTATTATTTATTAAAGATCTGGTTTGAAAATAATTTACCAGTTTAGTTTAATAAAGCAAACTCATGCCTTATGAACAACTAATCTTTCAACTACAAGACTCCTGAACATCATGTTTAAAAATGTGAGAGATTGAAAATCGCGGTAGTGCTAGACATTCAATCGATTCACACTATACATTGTTAGTCATCCATTGATACTGTAACAAAAGCTAATTTTTCCAAGAGTTTGACAACTTCAATATTCCTTATAATCTTTGGTGGCTTATACTGACTAGCTGATGTTCCATTCTTAATGGCCAAATCTGATAACTGATCAAAACCTCCATGCCTTAGGATCATTATCATTAACTTCCTTAAATGACCTTTATCCTTCTGCACCTTGTACAATGCTCCCAAGCCATTCTCAAGAGATGAAATACATCTTTTAAACACTTTATCCCATTCCTCCCAACATTTAGATTCCTCTTCAACTTCTACAAATATCTTCAACTGCTTCGACGTTGGTTCCTGATCTAAGAAACTTGCAAACTCAACAATTTCAATTGAGTCAATTCCCATAGCAACTCTAAGTGCAAGTTGAAAATTTTTAACAGCTGAAATCAAGTCTTTCTCTGTTATAATCTCACTTGAAGACTTGGGTGCTCTCATCACAAATTCCACTTGAGGTGATGAGTTATAGAAACCAACGACTCTAACTATATCGCCTAATTTGTATCGATAAAATCCTCGGTAAGTAGTAACAACCACTTCATACATCTTCCCAACCTCAACGCTGCATAGGTCTACTGTTTGTTCGTCGACAACATCTTCATCATTATCATTCATCTCAAATGGAAGAAACTCAAAGTATGCAAAAGTAGGAAGTATAACGAAACACGTTGTCTCGGGTGGTTGGGTTAAGTCTAAATTTAAACCTACGCAACACTCAGAAGCAAAGTAGTCTCCTCCTAGAATCGGTACATTACCTGCATAAAACTTAAGTTTTTGGTAGTACTGCATCATGCTTCCTGTCGTAACGCACCTGATAAACCGAACATTCGGAAACAATCTACTTACAATCCCACCCCAATTCTTCTCTGCACAAACTAATCTTATTCTAGTTGACAATTCATGTTGAGGACCACCAAGTGTGTTGATTACACCTTCTCTCATTTCCAAATCAGAAATTTCATGACTCGGATAACCGCAATCAAGATCATGACATAGCTGCTCCCACTTGGACTCCAGAAAACCAAATGCTTTAATCAAACCTATAGCATAAGGAGTACTAATCCCATCTATAACATCAATATTCCTAAGGCCACATAAAAGATGGCAATACATTTGATGATCAACATTAGATCCTAGCATAACTTGTAAAGGACTAGAGAACCTAGAAAGTTGTGTAGAAGATACTTTACCACTTTGCAAAGGGTATGAAGAAGCTGCCATAACCTTTAGGCCACTTTTGGTTGTAATAGTAATTTTGTCAGCATAGAGAAACAACAGGATCTTGTTGATATTTGGCCTTGGAGGAAACTGGCTGCATGATGAAGGTTTCAAATTTAAACTTATTGTTAAAGAAACATAAGATCTTTCAAAGTTTGGCAGGATTTTTACCTATGAAGAACAGCAATACTCCCTGTGTGAGCAATAAAGGATGCTGCTTTTGAAAGTGTTGAATCAAAGTAAGGTATGAGTTTTGGTTTCATCGACGTGGTTCCTGAGCTAAAAAAGAAAAAGTCACAGTCATAAGCAGGGCCATCTTTGAGGGTGTGCAAGGCGGTCTATAGCACAGGGCCTCACACATTATGAAATACGGACCGTTATAAAAACCCACGACTAAAATGAAACTAACTTCAACTTTTTACATAGGGTCTCTCGCAAGTTTGAGACGACTCTGGTCATCGTGTAGTGAATAATTAACTGAAATGATATATACCTGTAGAAAAAACATAAAAGAGGATCAACAGAGAGAAGAGGGTGATGATTAGGATGATGATCAGCCATTTGTTGAATAAAGTCAACATAATCTTCATAGGAGGACAATGGAACAAGATGTGAGAAAGTGGAAGGGTCAAGAGTATTATTGGAGAAAGATTGAAGATAGTGTGAAGAGGAATTGTGATGAAGAATTGAGCTAAGAGTCTCTAACTGGTGATGTTTGGCATTCATGGTTAAATCTTCAATCTTCTGTATCAGTTCTGAGCCTGACATCAATAATATTAAGATAGATAGAGCAGTTATGTTTAATGTTGTTGTGCTTGTTTGATCAATCTACTATGTATATATAGATGTGTGTTTGTGATCATTAAGAAAGATTCATTGACTTTTAGGCTTTCATTGCAGCTGCTTGTCATATATCAATGACTCAACAATCTACAATGTATACTATTTTATTTTATTTTTAACATTGATGTTCACTTTTGATGGAGTTGCTCCTTTTCTTAACATTTCACCACTCACAATTCTTTTCTTTCTTTGTTATAGCACATATATTTTGAGGATTATTTGAATTCTTTAAAATATTTTTGTTTGTTTTTTTATATTTTCATAGTTTCATATTTATATTATGTATTAAAATATATTGTAAATTATTTTAAAAATTTGTAATTGAAACAAAGTAATTTAATATTATCAAACTACATTAAAAAAAGACTTTGCAAAAAAATTGATAAATTAATATGTTTGTGCATCTTTAGTGTTTGACAAAAACTATCTTGAAAATATTAAATAAATAATTTTTTATTTTTTTAAATTGTATTCAAAATACACTTAGTACAAAATAATTATATAGTTATTAAAAAAATATAAAAATCATATCATTCTTCAGATTTTTTTTATTCATCACTGATCAGATTGTTAAAACTAGGAAAAAACATATTATTGATCAGATTATTAATACTATGAAAAGACATTAGTATTCAGGTTATTAAAACTATAAAAAGACATATTACTGTTTAAATTATTATTTTCTTTTTACATCTGTTCAGGTTATTATTAAAACTAAAAAAAATAAATTATTTAGGTTATTAAAACTATGATACCATTGTTATTAAAAAAATATCAATGTTATTAAAAAAATATCAATGTTATTAAAAATATGAAAAGTCATATCACTGAGCATGTTATTAAAAATGAAAAGTCATATCAATGTGCATGTTAAGATTTTTTTAAAAGACATATCAATAATAAAAAAAGTTATTACAAATATACCAAAGTAAGTGCGATAGTATTGTTAAAAGATATAGAAAGTGTATCGGAAAACATTTTAAAAGTGTTTTGAAAGTTATTTTTTAAATATTTTTAATTTTTATTTTATATATCAGAAGATTTTGTAAAAGTGTTGTAGAAATTATTTAAGGTTTAATTTTATTTTGTATATTAGAAGACTTTGCAAAAGTTTTTTATTTATTTATGAGAAAATTCAATTTTTTTCGTAATTTCAAAAAAAATCTATTTTGTGTATTTTTGAGCAAAAATCAATTTTTCATATTTTATACAAAAAATAGATTTTTGGTATTTATGAAAATATTCAATTTTTTTTCTTATTTTTGAAAAAAAATCTTTTTTTTTTTTATTTCTTAAAAAAAAAATCATATTTTCATATTTTTAGAAAAAAAATAGGTTTTTCGTATTTATGAAAAAAATTTGAATTTTCGTATTTAAAAAAAAATAGATTTTTCGTATTTTTGAAAAAAAAATAATTAATTTTATTTAAAAAAAAATAGATTTAATAGATTTAAAGTCTATGATAAAAATAATTCATTAGATTTTTAAAATATGTTGGATGGATTGAATCAATTCATGTATATAAATGGATATATTTTGTCCTATCAATTAACTTACATTTTATGTTGGTGGATGGATTAGATGAATTTTGTCTTAATGAATCCAATTGTCACTCATACTATCAGAGCAATGACACCGACTCGAACTATTGAAGGTATACAGCCTTCACTCGCGATTACCTGCACGTTACCAACATAGGTGCAACATTCAAACAGAAGGGGTGAGATATCTAACAATATAATAAAGCGCAGATAATTAATATATTAAATTAGATCAATAATATCACCACTTCTCATCTCATAATCAATAATAATTACAACATATATACTCATTCATCAACATCAAATACACTTCATTATTCAATCATATAATGCGACTCAAAACTATGCAAATGCATGTGGTACCATTGGAGCAGAACTCCCATCTCAAAAATCTGCCAATTAATAGAGGCATCAACAAGACATAACCTTCATCTCAAAATTTGCCAATCCAGGCCATCTCAACGAGCATAAGCTCCATCTCAAAAATGCAATGTATGCGACTCATCATGAATGTAATGTCAACACTCAATCAACCACATCTCAATTATCTTAAAACAACAACATCTCATAAACATCTCAGAACAACAACATCTCATAAACATCTCAAAACAACAACATCTCAATCATCTCAAAACATCTTAATTACAACGTCTCATAAACATCTCAAAATAATTTATTAAACATCATTTATTTATCAAACGTCATTGGTTCATCATAATTACCAAACACAACTTTAATAACCACATCTCACTAATAACTCAGTTGTATATCAATAGTACAGTAATCCATACTGTTATTCTAAATTTTTACAGTTTTACTATCACTAATCCTACTGTCATAATCCTAACAGCAACCTCTAAACATCTCATGTTCATCATTCTGTCCAAAACATCAGCACAACGACCAATCACAAGAATTACTCCTAAATTCTAAATTAGTTACTAGGATTACACTTCATATTCATCACTTTAATCCTCTAGAATAGAGTTCACCGCGTTAGCTAATCAACGCTTCAAACGGCATCTCAAACAGCATCCTAAAACTCAAGTTACAACAACTAAAAATCGATTATGTCAAAAATCAGACATTATGGGTCGACACAAGACCCTATGGATCGACTCATCCTGCTTCTCCTTTACAACATGGGTCGACGCAAAACCCTATGGATCGACTCATCCTGCTTCAAAACAAATCATGTATCGACACATGCATCTCACCGGTCGACTCATCCTGAGTCTTGCAACTAACATGCATCGACGCAAGCCCTGTATGCATCGACTCATCCTGAGTCTTGCAACTGACATGTATCGACGCAAGCCCTGCATGCATCGACTCATCCTCTATTCGTGTTGACTCATCTTCAGTCAACCAGCCTTCATGTATCGACACATCCAATTTGGGGTCGACACATCCTGCTACAGTCTGCCTAATTTCTGTGTTTTCTACTGTAATTTCGCTACGGGAATTATGTTACAGTCCTACAAACCTCATTATAACCATGATAATTCATCACTTAACATTATACTCTATTACTCCATTGATCAAACAACATAACAACATTCTTATTCATCAAAAATTCATCAAATCTTCATCATACATCATTCATAATGCATTCAATTCAAGAACAAACAACAATCACCTCTAACCCCATATATCAAACATCATGAACCCAATTATAAAGTCAGAACTCCATCCTTACCTTGGATCGAAGGTAGATCTACAATTCCGGTTGGATTCACGTTCTTGTCGTTTTCCACTTTCTCTAGCAGCTTGCACGTTCTCTTCCAAATCCTTATTTTCTTCTACTGCTTCTTTCTTCTCTACCTTCTCACAAATAATAAAATAACCTAATATTCTATTATTCCTTATTGGGCTTAAAACCAACACACCCCTTATTACTTCTATACTCTCAAAATAAGCCCACATAAAATAATATTACACTTTTAATGTTATTTCACCACATAATATTATATCTCTAATATTATTTCTCCACTCAATAAAATAAATCCAATTAATTATAACACACCTTCATAAATATTCCCAAAATAATTTAATTAAATAATTAATTAAATTACGGGCGTTACAACTCTCTCCCACTTAGAATATTTTCGTCCTCGAAAATTTACCTCAATCAAACAATTCAGGATAGGAGTCTCGCATCTTTCTCTCCAATTCCCAAGTCATGCTTTCACCAGCAGCTCCTAGCCAAACCACTTTAACCAACACAATCTCTTTGCCCCTCAGAATCTTCATTTCATGATCTGCGATCCGTACAGACATCGTCTCCACCGTAAGATTATCCCGTACTTGCACATCGTCCATATGAATCACATGAGATGGATCTAAAATATACTTCCGAAGTTGCGACACGTGAAACACATCATGCAAATTCGAAAGATTAGGTGGTAAAGCCACTCTATAAGCAACATTTCCCACTCTCTCCGAAATCTGATACGGTCCAATAAAACGAGAAGTGAGCTTCTTAGACTTCAATGCTCGCCCAACACCAGTCACAGGTGTAACTCTCAAAAACACATGATCACCGGCTTGAAATTCTAAATCTTTCCTTCGCTTGTCATGATAACTCTTCTGTCTACTTTGCGAAGCTTTCATCTTTTCTTGAATCAACTTCACCTTCTCAGTAGTCTCACGAACAGGTTCAGGTCCAAGTACTACATTTTCACCAGATTCATGCCAACATAACGGAGTTCTACATCTTTGACCATACAATGTTTCAAAAGGTGCCATTCCAATACTAGAATGGTAACTGTTATTATACGTGAACTCTATCAACGGAAGATAAGTATCCCACGAACCTCCCTGCTCAAGAACACATGCCCTCAACAAGTCTTCTAACGGTTAAATCGTCTGTTCAGTCTGACTATCTGTCTGAGGATGATACGCTGAACTCAACCTCAACTTAGAACCCAACGCTTCTTGCAAACTCTTCCAAATATCATAAGTAAATCTTGGATCTCTATCTGACACAATGCACAAAGGAACACTGTGCAGCTTCACAATCGCAATAATATAAATCTCAGCCAACTTCGGCACTGGAAAACTGATGTCAATAGGAATAAAATGAGCTGACTTCGTAATCCTATCAACAATCACCCAAATTGAATCATGTCCTCTTAAAGTATTAGGCAACCCCGTCACAAAGTCCATTGAAATGCTATCCCATTTCCATTCTGGAACTTCCAACGATTGCATCAATCCTGCAGGCTTCTGATGTTCAACTTTCGACTTCTGACAAGTCAAACATGCATACACAAACCGAGCCACATCACTCTTCATTCCAGGCCACCAAAATAAACCTTTCAAATATTGATACATCTTCGTAGCTCCTGGATGAATACTCAACTTACTTCTATGGCTCTCTTC